CTCCTCTCCCCCCTCCCTCTCCAATCCAAAGAGCAGTCAGGGTTCCCTGCCCTGTGGAAAGTCCAAGGTCCTCCCCCCTCCGTCTATGTCTAGGAAGGTGAGCATCCAAACTGGCTAGGCTCCCACCAAGCCGGAACATGAAGTAGGATCAAAACCCCTTGCCATTGACCTTGGCTTCTCATCAGTCCTTATTGTTCGCCATGATCAGAGAGTCCGGTTTTATCCCATGCTTTTTTTTTTTTAACCTTCCCTCCCCCCCCCTTCCTTTTTTGAGACAGGATTTCACTAAGTCTGGAATCTTTCTGTAGCCCAGGCTGGTCTCACAGAGCTTCACCTGCTTCTGCCGGCTAAGTGCTGTGGTTAGAGGCGTGAGCCACTACACCTGGTGCTTAGAACGTTTCATTTCTACTTCTAATTACGTGCATCTGTACGCGCAGATGCACGACTGCAGATGCCTAAGGAGGCCAGAGGCATTGGATCCCCTCGGGCTGGAATCACCTAAGTGTGGGTGTGAGAGGCAGACTCAGATCCTCTACAGGCACCACACATCTCCAGCCCCTAAATACAGACTTCTAAAGTTTTTATTACATTTATTTATGTGGTGTGTGTATGTGTGCTGTCGGAGAACACTTGTAGGCTCTGTGGAATTCAGGTTGTCAGGCTTGGCAGTGGGCCTGACACACTGAGACACTGGATGGGTCCAGCTTTGGTTTTTTGTTTTTCTTTTGAGACTGGGTGTCCAGAGCCTTGGCTGAGTATGACCTTGAACCTCTTCCTCCCACTCCTGAGTGCTAACTAGGATTAGAGCTGGCTCCCAGGTCTCCTGCTACATTTAAAAACTCTTTAACAACCGAGCCAGGCCCCAATTCAGATTTTGGACAAGCATCTGAAGAGCATTTCTCTTAATTGTAAATTTGGATACAACAACATGGCTGGTCATTTTCTTAGTTTGGGATATATTTTTCTTTCTTGTATACTACAGCAGATTTTCATTAATGAAAGTGATATCGGTTAATTTTGGAGTCATGAGTTGAGGGACCAGTAGGAAATCTAAAATCATTAGAAATGTGGATATAAGAGATTCAGAACCTGAGTCCTACAGACTGAAAATTGCCTTAGGCTGTGACTTTACAATGGGGGATACTATGATGTATCGCAACTCAATGTGTTATAAGAGGTTCACTCACCTCTCCAGATTCAGACTCTTAGAAGTGCTTGGCCTGCAGTGCTGACTGCATGCAGTTCTGCAGGTTTTATAAATCAGAATTCTCCAGACACGGCGCATGGAAGCTGTGCAGTTGCGTCTCTAGGGACGGACCTGAGGACGCGGCCCCTAGATTCAAGGTTGCCAGGTTACAGAAGGATTTTAAGGTTCTCAGCTGCCTTGAGAACTGAGGTCCGAAACAAAACACAGCTAGGAAGAGGGGCGGAGCTGGTGTGTCCTGGAGGCTGCGCATTCCGCGTTTCTCCGCCTCCAAGTTCCTGCCGCTCTGTTTTTCCTGCTGCTGGTTCAGACTTCCTGTCCCGAGAAGTCCGACTCGGTGCACTTTTTTTTTTCTTCTTCTACGCGTGAAGCTCCAGCAAAGTCAGGTAAGGCCACAAGGACCGCACTATCCTTTTAAAAGTAGAGTCCTGTCTTTTTTTTTTTTTTTTTCTTAGAAAAGTAACGTGGTCACAAGCACTGTTTGGAATTTAACCTTTTTATTTCTTTGCTTGAGGATAAGGTCTCACTTTGTATCCCTGGCCCTCAATGCAGCCCAAACTGGCTCGAATTAGAGGCAGTCCTGCCTTAGCATCCCAGACAGGTACTACTGTGCCCTGCATTGTTTATTTGTTTCCTTACCCCCCCCCCCCTGTCAGAGGTAAAGAGCACTTCCTGATCTTGCAGAGGACCAAGGTCAGTTCCCAGTACCCCCATGTCATACAGCTTGCAACTGCCTCTGCAGACAGTCACACACACTCAGACACAAATAAAAATAAATCTTTAAAACAACAAGCCAGGCATAGTGGCACATGCCGTAAGTGTCCGCATTCTGGAGGCAGATGCAGGTGGATATCTGTGAGTTCAAGGTGTGAGTTCCAGGGCAGCTCTGTGAGTTCCAGGGCAGCCAGAGCTGCATAATAGAGAGACCCCGTGCCAGAAAACAAACAAAAAATGGTATTCCTCACTTTTCCTTACCAAGGTATACTTTGGGTTATAAACATTTTAAGTTTAGGTTTGGTAAAGTCAAATCAGTATTGACAGGAATTTAGAAGTTGGTGTCCTTGCATTACAGTGAAGTCCACGCCGGGTATGATGGCTTATTCCTGTAGTCTCAGTTCTCAAGAGACAGAAGCAGGAGAATAGCTGCAAGCTTGATGTCAGATTGGTCTGCATAGTGAATGCCCGTGCAGCCTGGGCTCCAGTCCAAGTCTGTATTTGATGCATATGAGTGTTTTGTCTTTCTGGTGCCTAGCAATGCCAGAAGAGGGCACCAGATGCCCTGGAACTGGAGTTATAGTTGTGAGAGGCCGTGGGGGTGCTAAGAACTGAACCTGGGTCCTCTGTGAGAGCCTCACGTGCCCCCCCTAACTGCTGAAGCCTCTCATTAGCCTCAGCTCAAGTCTGTCCTAAGAACAAAACAAACAAAAAGGTATACCTTATTTCATTTACTTGAAGATTGTTGTGAAATAAAAAGCCCTGTGTATTTTTGTGATTATGGATTACAAAAAGGATTTCACAATTAAAAAAAGGATTGTTTTTACCCAAATTGATAAGCCAAAACTGTCCTGTGACATGAACTTGCATTTGTGAGTTGTCAGAGCATACACTAGCCTATTTTCCTGTTATGTTGAAGGATATGGACTAAGAGTTTTCAGTATTGTTTGTTTGTTTGTTATAGAGATCCAAAATTCCAGTGTCATCTAAGTGGAGAGGCAGACCCTCATTCTGTCTGCTTGGGGAGCAGTCCTAGTAGCGACATGGACAGACAGACCCTGAGGTTTGGAAAAGTACTAATGGCTTTCCGCCTGGGTTGGAAAAATTCCAGAAGCCAATGGCGTTTGCTGCAGACTGTGAGCGGTGGGGTCCCCCTGTTTCCCTGGAGGACAGCAGGGAGCTGTTTGGACCCTGAGATGAAAGCCTACCTGGAGGAGAATACTGAAGTCACCAGCAGTGGCAGCCTTACCCCTGAAATCCAGTTGCGGCTTTTGACCCCCAGGTGCAAGTTCTGGTGGGAAAGGGCTGACCTGTGGCCCTACAGTGACCCCTACTGGGCAATCTACTGGCCAGGAGGCCAGGCCCTCTCTAGGTAAGTCTCATTAAATGTGAATCTTTACAGCTGTTGAAGAAGAGCCTTTCTCCTTTCAGCACCCGCCCCCACCTCCATTCCATTCTTTCTGACCCTATAACATCACAGCAGAACCAGAAAATCACTGGGGCTTGTGCAGATCCCAGCTTGTGTGTGATGTGGATTGCTATCCTTCTCCTAAAATTAGAAGATTTGTCCTGTGGGAAGGCAAAGTCACCTCCAAAACAGCGTCCTGTAGTGATCCTTGATGTCGTGTGCGTCCTTGTAATCCTAGCACTTGGTAGCTGAACGGGGAGGGTTGGAAGTTTGAAGCTATCCTGTGATGTGTAGCTTTCTTTAGAAATTCAAATAGTCTCTGTGTACTGACGTGCTTGACTTTGGCATTACCTACAAGACACACCTCTGAGATCGGCTACGAGGATTTGCTTTTGTTTGGTAACTACTGTAATAAAAAACACAACCAAAAGCAACTTGGGGAGAAAAGGGTTTGTTTTGTTTTACACTTCCAGGTCACAGTCTTATCTGGAAGTCAAGTCAGGAACTTGGAGGCAGGAACTGAAAAAAGGGCCATGAAGGAGCCCTGCTTTCGGGCTTGCTCAACCTACTTTCTAGTACCACACAGGACTACCTGCCCAGTGCATTGCCCCCAGTGGGCTGGACCCTCCCATAGCAGCCACTGGTGTGGTCCCTATAGGGGCCATTGCTGCTTGACAAAGTTCCATCATTTCGACTTTGTGGATCACAATTCTCCAGTACCTTTTTACTTTCGTTTTTAATAATTCTCACTATGTTTTATGCAAAAGTTCCCTTATGCATTTTTCTCTGGGAAATTTTGTGTGGGTTTTGAAGGATGAAAATGTATAAGAGGCAGCTTCTTGAAGCAAAATAGTTCTTTGGAAAAAATCCCTTCCACCAAGGAACCATATAGCTTGATAACTCTGCCTGCTCCTATACAGGTTAACACCAAACTAGAAAGTTTAGATAAATCACATATACTTTATGTGATAATAAATAAGTATATTTGATAATCAAGACTTATAAGGTCTACTCAGGTTAACAGTAACATTTGTCTAGCTTCATCTTTGCTTACCTTAAGTTTTAGCTAGTTGGATAAATTAAGCCACCTAATGGAATATCTGGTCCCCCAAGAAAGTCCTTTCCCCAAGGTCAGGCATTTAGACAAAGCACCTGTGGTAGTTTGAATGTAATTGGCCCTCATAATGTCATAGGGAGTGGCACTATTAGGAGGTGTGGCCTTATTGTAGGAAGTGTATCACTGTGGGGGCGGGCTTTTGCTTCAGCTTTGCCTAGTGTCAGAGTCTACTTCCTGTTGCCTTCTGATTGAGATGTGGCTAGCACCATGTCTGCCTGCACACCACCATGCTCCCCACCATAGAAACTGTAACTAAGACAGAAGTTGGTACCAGGGACTGAGGTATTGTTGTGCTAGGCCGGACTGTGTTTTGTGTGGAGGAATTTGGACTGTGGTAGTTTGGGTTAGTGGCATACTCTAAGCACTGCTTACTGGGTCATTCTAGTAGGAACATGCAAGACAACATTGCTGTTGGTGATTTGACTGTCTAGGACTAGATCAATAGATTCAGAGGAGAAGAATTTTAGTATGTTGTCTAGAAATTGTTCTTGTGATATTTTGGTGAAAAATGTGAATGCTTTTTGTCCTTGTCTGAAGAGTCTGCCTGAGGCTAAAGTGAAGAGCTTTAGATTAATTCCGTTGGCAGAGGAAAACTCTGATGAAGATTTATAATGAAAAGGAGAACGCTGAGGTGGAAAAATACAAAATGTATAGTTCGAGGAGAAAAGGAGCATCAGGAAGTGGAGTGGAGTTAAGTCCTGTGTTCAAAGAGGTCAGCAGATTAAAGAACAACAGGGTATTGAATGAAATAAAGGGAGTGGTGACCTCAGGGTAAGACCCCACCCAGCTAATCTTCTGATTTGTGAAAGGAATAAAGAAAATGTAGAGCCAGGTGTTTTGTGCACATCTTTAATCCCAGTACTCGGGAGACAGAGGCAAGTAGATCTCTTGAGTTTGAGGTCAGTCTGGTCTAGAGATCTAATTTCAGGACAGCTACTTAGGCAGTGAAGGACAGAAAGTTGGTGAAGATGTGGTTAAACAAGGGGGTCATATTCTAGCCCCAATAAGCTGTAGAAGGTGGCAGATTCTGGAGTTAAGTATAGAAGAAAGAGGCTGTGGAATTTTCCTGTAAGACTAAGGCAAGTGGTGAGCCCAGGCATGTGTCAGGGGTGTCCCTGAATGGAAGCCTAGAGAGGCCATTGTGTGCAGCTGTGAAGGTGAAGCCTGGAGTGCCGTGGAGAACCTAAAATGTTGGAGATGCCAGAACCGTGGGACACCTGCTGAGAAGCTGCTAACAGGGATGGAACCAGCCCCAGAAGTGTGTTGCAGTCAGCAAAGGTGACAGGAGTGGAGATCTCAAGAGCATTTGACATCAGTCATGGAGGTGCAGAGTTTGGAGTTTGCCCAGCTGGTGTTTGGCCTTGCCTTGGTCCAGTGTCTCCTCACTGTGTCTCCTTTCCTCCATTTTGCAGTGGTAATGTATATCCTGTGCCATTATATGTTGGAAGTATGTGATCTGCTTTTTTATTTTGATTTTTATAGTGGGTCATAGTTAAGAGATTGCATGACTCTCAGAAGAGACTCGGATTTTGGACTTTTAAACATTGTTGAGTCTGTGATAGACCGTGGGGACTTTTGAAGTTGAACTGAATGCATTTTGCATCCTGATATGGTTACTAGCTTATTGGGGCCAGGGAGTGGAATGCGGTAGTTTAAATGTAATTGACCCCCATAATCTCATAGGGAGTTGCACATTAAGGGGTATGACATTGTTGGAGGAAATGTGTCACTGTGGGGGTGGGGTTTGAGGTTTCCTGTGCTTAGGATACCACCCAGTGTCTCAGTTGACTTCCTGTTGCCTGTAAGATGTCAGACTCTCACCTACTCCTGAACCATCTTGTCTGCTTGCACACTGCTTTGCTTCCCACCGTGATGATAATGGACTGAACCTCTGAACTACAAGCCACCCCAAGGAGATGTTTTCCGTATGAGGGTGGACATGGTCATGGTGTCTCTGCACAGTAATAGAAACCCAAAGACAGATCCCATCCCCTCAGGGGCTTGAAGAAAGTTCCTCCTTGCTAAAAACAGAATCATTTCTATCTCTGACAAGAGGAACTTGTAGCCCTTCCATTAACACATAACTGTGGTGATCATGGTGACTATTAACTTGTCAAGGTCAGTACTAACTTCCTCCTTTCTTCCTTTTAATCCTCTGTGCAATTATAACGTATAAAAGGTGTGTAGCCTTTTTTTTTTTTTTAAGTGAAGTGGCAGCCATCCAGACTCACCCCCTGATCCTGTCAGTCCTCACCAACTCCACACCTCCTCTTTGGGACCTGGACTCCAGGAAAACATTAAAGCAGAAAATGTTTCCTAGGCTTGCCTGCCCATAGGCCAAACTTCTGACTGAGAGTCCCACCTGTCTCTAGCTAGTGTCAAGTTGACAAAAACCAAAACAAGATTGGATGTTTCCAGTGAAGCTTAACAGAGGGAAGGCCCATCTTGAATGTGGGTGACACCGTTCTCACAAAGAGAAAAGGGAAGAAAGCTAGCTGAGTCCTTGTTGGGATCCATGTGCCAGCCCCAGCATAAACCATCTGTCTGGACCTGCGTGGGGGCGTGGGAGTAAAGGCACAACTCACATAGCTTTATTGGGAGGGAGATTCTCAGGGATCCCTCATGAAATCCTGAGTTCACCTTTCACCTCCTGGAAATTCCTCTGCGTTTACTCTCCAAACAGCCTTTATACCAAACCGTAAACTGAGGGGGAAATTCATTAGCATTCTGTTTCCTAGGTAACCAGGTGAATGACTTTAGTCATGCCCACATCTACCTGTGCCTGCTCTGTCACGTCTTCCTGCTCTGTATGCCAGCTCTGTCACGTAAGCCTGAATTAGCATCTCTATCCAGGCATCCTCCAAATTACAGAGAAGGAGCAGAACACATCCTGACCCCTTGTTAGGGTAGGGCCAGCCTGTCTGGAAGGCTACGTGACCACCTGAGGTGTGCTAGGGCTTGAGAGCCTGGCTGCCACACCATGTAGAAATATGAGCCCACAAGTCCTGCAGTTCTTTTCTTTTCTTTTCTTCCTAATTTATACTGATGTGAGCAAGCACTCGCATACTTTGGCTGTCACAGCCCCCTCCTGCCAGGCCTTCCTTCCCCCTGACAGACAGTGTCTCCAAACTGTTCCTTCAGAAGAAACTCTTCCTCACACTTTACAAGTTTCCTGTCAACTTTAAAAAAAAATCTGTTTTGTGTATGACTGTTTTGCCTGAATGTGTGTCTGTGTACCTTGTGTATCTGGTGCCCATGAAGATCAGAAAGAGGCATCAGATCCCCTGGAACTGGAGTTATAGACAGCTGTGAGCTGTCATGTGGGTTCTGGGACTTGAACCTTGATCTTCTACAAGAGCAACAAGCCAACTCTCCAGCCCTCAAACTAACTCACCCCCAAGGTATTGTTTTGATAGCAGTTTGACCAAACCTTTGGTGCTTCATTGCATAGCTTTACCCCCTTACCTGTAGCACGAATAATAAAAACCCTAAAACAGATATGGGGTTCAAGCTGAAGATCAGAAAAGCAAAGCAGCCAAACACTAGAGAGACCTTTTACTTCTACCAAATCTTAAAAACAAAAAGGCAAGATCCTGGCTCCATGAATCCTCAGACTCCATACTCCAGTGAGTCTCTTCCCCTTTATATTCCTCTCTCTGCCCAGCCATATCCTTCCTGTATCTACCTCCCTAGTGCTGGAATTAAAGGTGTGTGACTCCCAAACACTGGGATTAAAGATGTGAGCCACCATCACCTGGATCTGTTTCTGGACTGATCTTGTGTAGCCGAAGGTATCCTTCAACTCACAGAGATCCATTTGCTTCTGTTTCCTGAGTCCTGGGATTAAAGGTGTGTGCCGCCATTGCCTGGCCCCTAGTAGCTTAGCATTGCACTCTGATCCTCAGGCAAGCTTTATTTGTTAAAATATGAATAAAATATCACTACACGTACATAAGATTTTTTTATCCATAAGTAAAGCGTCTACCCTATAGGAAACTAATGTCAGCTGTTAAAGAACCTACATGGTCGTGAAAGATTCATATGCCTTACTTTGTGTTCATGTCTGTGTACACATTGACAGTACAGAGTTCCTAGATGGATTCTAAAGACTCAACCCTTTAATGATCCTGCATTAATACTGCAAGCCCCACCTTCTTCTTGAACTGCCTCTTTGCACACAGGAAGTATGAGTGATTGGGATTTTCTCTGTGGCAGCTTAAATGCATCTTAAGTGGACCCTTTCTCTCTAATTTAGGTATCTTTTGGATAACCCTGATGTTGTTAGAGGAAAGTCAGTCTTAGATCTTGGGAGTGGATGTGGAGCTACAGCAATCGCTGCTAAGATGAGCGGAGCATCAGAGATCTTGGCCAACGACATAGACCCCCGTAAGGACTGCGTGTTTTAAAACATGTAAAGCTCACCACTTCCCTTTCAGGATGTATCAAGATAGCTTATTGCCTTGTTTGTAATCTGATATTGTGAGTTATGTTCAGTGGGACATTATCTGGGGTCTGACTGACAGTGCATTTTCTCAAGAGGAACTGATGTATTTGCAGAAGGATACAAACATGGGGTCATGTATGCTAGCTTCTGGGTTGAGAATTCCATGAAATGTGTAAGTAATATTTATTTGACACAAAATTCGAGTAAAGATAAGCTTGTGTCTTTAGAGGATAATTTTTTACGTCAGTAAGACCCAAGTTTTTGGGTATGGCAGAGGCAGGTAGACTCCAGAGTCCCAGGCCAGCTAGGGCTACAAGATGAGACCCTGTCTCAAACAAAATGGAAGGGAGGAAGGGAGGGAGAACAAAGGCCTACATGGCCGGGCGATGGTGGCGCATGCCTTTAATCCCAGCACTTGGGAGGCAGAGGCAGGTGGATCTCTGTGAGTTCGAGACCAGCCTGGTCTACAGAGCTAGTTCCAGGACAGGCTCCAAAGCC